GATAAGACTGGGATTCAAAATTATTTTGATAAATTGGAGAAATTGTCTGAAATAAATAGGATAAAATTCAGCAAAGAAACGTGGTAAGTACTGCACTTGGGATGAAGCAATTGCATGCGCAAATACAAATTAGAAACAACTGGCTAGATTGTATTCCTTCTATCCAGAATTGTGTTTCTTGCTTTTCACTGGTATCTTCAACTCCTTTCAATTATACTAGAACCAATTTATTAGAACTTCACAGGAGGGCTATGCGATGCTTCGCTTGCTGATTCGATTCGGCAGAGATTCAGCCCGATTCAGTGGCCGAGTATCCAAATCCAAATCTAATCAGGAGACCCTTTAATCTCTCCAAATCAAATCGGAACCCTCTGAATCAATTTGGAGAGATTTGGAAAGATTCGATGATTCGGCCATAGACACAGCTTTAAATTTTTTTTCTACATACCTCAACATACCAGGCAGCTTTTGAATGCTGAGATGCAGGGGTGGATGGAGCACCCCACAGGAGTGCGGGGCGGGGGGGTCCCAGGGTACTCGGCAGCAGACCCAGAAGTGGACCAGAGCCACTTCCAGTCTACTTCTGGGTCTGCCAGGGGACATGCTGCTGGGCCCCCCTGTGCCCCCCCTGGCTTGGCACCTGGTGCCTCCTCCATCGGGGGGGTACCCGGGGTCCCCCCCGTGGCTGATCACCAAGCTGAAGCAGGACGGGATGGGACCCCTAGCACGCTCCCCGCAGACCCAGAAGTATTTCAGGTCCACTTCTGGGTTTGCTGCTGAGCAGATGCCCCCGCCCCCCGCACCACATTCCTGTGGGATGCTCCATCTGCCCCAGCATCACAGAGTTCACAAACTGTGCCTGCTATCTTAAGGTATATAGAAAAAGCATTTAAAGCTGTGTCTATGGCCAAATCACTGGTTCTCTAAATCAGAATCGAATCCTCAGATTTGTACTTGGCCGAATCGAATTGGAGACAATGATCCACATCAATTAAGCGAATCACTGTCCCCGATTTCAGGCCAAATCCAAATCAAATAAGGCCCATTTTGCACACCCCTACTTCACAGATCTACAGACCTTCAAAGGGAAGGTTAGCAATAGAATTCTCTGAAGACTCCCAACACTGCCCACAGACATATGGACTTTCCTTATGTTAATCATTCACCTATAACTTAGTGATGTCTAGTACCTGGCCAAGTTGGAATACATTTCTATGAAAAGATCCAGCTTAAAGTCAATGCATCACTGAAGCCCTATTTGGAATATGCAAGTGAAGTACAGGCTTTGTGCTGTTGAGAATGAAATCCTAAGCTAACAATTCTTCTAAACAATAGAAAGGTAACTGTAAATCTTTACTCGCTTTAATGAGAACTTCTAGGAGAAAGGATTAGCCCCAAGAGTAAGGATCTGCAGAATTAGGGTAGCAGCAAATGAAGCATATTTCTTTTATTTCTTAGTTTAAATTTGAACATGAAGGTAAAGACTAAGCCTTGGCAGCAGTGAAATGGTACCGCCCTCTACATCTGACACAAACTGATACCCAGAACACAACTTTGGTTCCCAATTTTTATTAAAAATGATTAAGGTTAGAAATACTTAAAACATATACACAAATATTTCTATGTTTGGATACCTCGACACCAAAGAAAAACTCAGTTTTCACATAAGGTATTTGAAAGTAGTTATTTCACAAGAAAAACGAATCCTTTTGGCATTTTGAAATTAGAAATAAGATACAACTGAGGTTATGTTAGGAAATAGCTAATAAGCTGCAACACATCATTGTGTATGTACAAAGGGTTTCAATGTTCCGTTTTGCTGACTACACAAACATTTTTAGTATGCAAAAACCTATTAACTCAAAGGGATTTTGCATAAGTTTATAACAGTTCCATATATGGAGTTTGATAGACTGGGTCAGTAAAATAAAGGCAGATGGCAGTGAATTAATTCTAGTACTACTTTGTTGCAGTGTTGCCATTACAGTTTCTTCTACTGCATTCATAGCTACTACAGCTTCCCTTGTTTTAATAGTGTCTTCAACTACCAATAAAATACCACCTACCGGAGTAATAGAAAATAGCACAAGTACATATACCTATGATGGACACACTCCTATGACACTTAATATAGAGACCTAGACAAATATCACTATAAACTGCTATACATTAGCCCATAACAAAGAAAAGGATCCACCACTGATGGGGTGGTTCAATAGCTAGTCATTGATCACCACTAGCCAAATCAGTTCCTACTCCTGAAGTTTCAAGAGGGTTTATCCTGTTTTCTCTGCCTCCCATTCCCACTTGCTAACTTTCTTTCAAAAAGGTTTGGATGATCTGCTCTGGTCCTTCCAGTCATTAGGATTCATCAACAATAGGTTTTACAAAGTATATATTTGCTTGTTAGTCCTTTCCTTAGCTTTCCAAGAAGGACAGGGTAACAAAATGGTGCCACAATTAATAAAAAAAACAAAACAAAAAAGATGTTCCATCTTTCATTCACATCGTGTTTACTCACATTCCAAGAAAATCCCAAACAAAAATAATTTTGAAAGAAATCAAGCAGTGATGAAAATCCAGTCTCTTAAAGAGACAGACTACCCTAGCACATACCCCTTTTCTTAACTGGCAAATTATATTTTCAGTTTTATCACTTGTATCAATTTTCCAAATCCTTCTCTTGATAGGTGGCCTGAATCATAATGTTGATCTCCCTGGGCTTGTCCTCTGAAACCATTAAGGATGACGTGATAATATGATCCAATAAATAGTGTATCTGTTTTATTATAACAGATTATATTTGGTAGTGATGTATTACCAGTCTTAAAATGGTATCTAAGATTAACTACTTTACAGCATTCTTTCACAAAGTATGGTGTATTTTGCTGAAAATAAATAAGAAAATGGGCAGGCTTTGCAGACAAAACTTTTACATTCTCCATCATCTCAGCTTTCATATTAAAAAACAGTTATGCTCAAGATGTTATGGTTACTTCGAAAAAACTTTAAAATGTGCAGTCAAATGTAACCAGGCATCTGTCTGAGTTTTCAAAGAGCCTGAAACACTAGCTCCGATATGTTTTCTCTCCCATTAATTACAATGTGAGCTAAGGATCATCCCCTCAGATGTCAAGCATGATGCATTACACATCACTACTCAGACAATATAAGAAAGCACAGAAAGTACTGTGAATTCATACTGCCATTATCCAAAGTAGACTAAGGATTCATTATGACAGCTGTATACAAATTAATGTTACCACCAAATGGCAGAGGTGAAAAGAAAATGCAATTCCTTTCTCTTTCCTGAAAGGGGACTCTGGGTAACACTGATATAACACTTCAGAGTTGTAATGCACAATTGCTCTTTCTGAGATACAGTTTTCTACTTTCATCTATATGAGACATTTAAGGCGCAGTAGACTGATTGACTGTGCATTACAGCATCATGGCAAAAACATGCTACTGCGCATTATACGTCACAAAAAAGTGTGCGATTGCACTAATGTGCAGTATGGCAGCCTACTGCACATTTATTTGTGCTTCCTTTTGCAAGCACTAAATTTAATGTACAACAGGCACATTAATGAATATATAAATATGCCAGAATAGAATAGAATGTTCTTTTATTTCCTTTTTGTTAAATGAAAACAGCATCCAATCCTATCTCTGACATGTCAGTTTACATTCTGAAACTTTAATTAAAGTCCAGACTAATTAACATGATTTAGAAATAAGTGCTTTCTTCAGGGTATCAGAAGCTACCTGGAATTGCCTGACCAGGCTTTTTCCTTTGGATTTTTAATTAAGCCTCTCAGAGGAACTGTAATATGAGAAAATAGTGAAACAAGCCTTAAGAAAATCCAGTACCAAGAAAGATGTTTCTGTCTACTTGGTGGTATGATGGCAGTCTCTGCTGTTACTACTACCACTAAGTTTTGCAATTTACCTACAACATAGCCTGGATTTTTGCCCTTATGTCTAGTCACTACATTTCTAGTGATCCAAGTGAATCTTTACTTTAGCTACATCACACGCTGAACTGAATCTCTAAGGAGAAAACAAAAGCAAAACCTCTGAACTACTGCTTTGATAACTGATAAGTTATAGACCCTGTATGTTGCTAATACAAGAGTTTCAGGTGCCTTGGAGCTACAGCACAGATTTCAGGAGTCAAGGAGAGGGGGTAATGAGATAAATAAGATATAGCAAGTTAGCAGCACAAAGCTCTGGCAATGACCATACTTGCTGTTTGTGTGCATCTTCCATGTTTCAGTTTCCAGGGATCAAATCAAGACCCCGAGCAGCAACTGTATCAGATGAGCCAATAAAGACCTTTTTTCTGTCTAAAAATTAAGCATTGCTTATCCCAGTAGGAAATGGATCTTTGCATGTCTCGTACACCACACCTGAGTTTATCACTAAACAAAGCATTAACAACTTTGGTTCATCAATAGTTTTCTGTGCTGTTATCAAAGCACCACTCATAGGCAATTTGCTAAACTATTCCTTTTTTGGCAATCTCATTAGATTAATTAGGGATAATTACTTTTTGTCTCTAGCTCTTGAGTTGGTTCTCTCCAGAGCTGGGTTGAGGTTCCTTGGTAGGTTGATGTGTTCCACCTTGGAAAATGATGGCTGAAATGTCTTTAAAGTACAGGCTACATTGTAAAGAGATGAACCCAAGCTATAAAATATGCTTCTGAATCCAAATGACCTGTATATTGAGACACTTTGGATCAGAATTCTTTTTTTAAGCCATCTCCACTTGAAGTATTACATGGGCTCAAGTATTTTGGCAGCACTAATCAGGTTACTCTACAGCTATTTTCACCTTAGAATGAAATTCACCCTTAAGCAGAACTTTGGCATAAAACCAACACACCATTTAAGTGAAACTGAGGTTATGATCGCCTAAGCCTTCTGCTGGTCAGGCATACAAGGGAAAGTTCAACTTTAAGAGAGAGTTCTGTTGTTACTTGTTTTTTTTCTTTTACCTGAAATGGAGACTGGCTGTTGTAATTCTTTATCTCCTTGTTGGCTCCTCGGAACAACAAAACTCTTGCACAGCTTTCCTGCAAATTGTAGAAGAGGAAATTGTTAATTATGAGTGTTAATCCCTAATAGATGTAGTGTAGGGATAAGATGTGGCTATCGTTTGGCATACATTTTCAAATGTGAAACAGTAAGTGCTCCAAGCAGAAATGAAAGTCTGTTCCTATTTAAATAATTTATCTCATGTTTGAGAGGGAAGCTCTTGGAAGCTGGCTTGGGAAGCTCTTAGATACTATGATACCGGATGCTATTCAGGTCTTTAGTGTTCTGGAAGCAATACATAAGGCTATGGATAAACATTGATTTGAAAAGCTAATAATATCCATAAAATTTCCAGCACCAGAAAAACAGCATGAAATCCACAGCCATTCAAGTTCCTGGTCATCCAGTGGGTTACAGAGCACAATGAGAGCACATACTGCTGGTGTTCCACTTTGCATCTGCAGAGGTTCCCAAAGATAGCTGAGCATACAGGAAAGTGACAATTGCCTAGGAAACCACACCTACGAGGGCTTCCCCCTCAACCTTGTGCTGGGAGTACAGAGCCACAGGGCACCCATCCAGTTTCCACTGCCAAGGGCTCATCAATTTCACTTCCAGCCTGCAATGGATCCCTGCTCCCTGAGTACCCTGAGGCTCCCAATCACGCAGTGCTGATAAGTCCAGTGCATGCCATGTTCCTTCCAGCACAGTCAAGGTCTGCTACTGTTTCATCAAAGAGCTGAATCAGCTCCATTGGGCAGAGTTATATGAGGCCACTTGGATATAATCCAGTTCCTGGTCATGTGATCTCCAATTAGCCAACAAGTTAGGGGTAGGGAAGTCCCCAGTGGGAGAGGCAGTGCAGGGGGTATCCTTGGCTATCCAGTGAGTATTGGCACTGTTGTTCACCTACCTCCTCAACCGTGGCAGGAGGTAAGTGGCAGGGCAAGGGATCTGAGAATGGCTTGGCTTCAGAAGGGAGCTCTGTAAAATTTCATCTTGGACCAGCCATGGTCTTTGGAATTTAGGGCAGCTGGTCACTACACTAAACACACATGGACCTCCCCACCACGCTGTGCCATGCACGATCCATCCTTCATGACTCTGATATTCTTTATGCTTCAGGAGTGGGAATGATGGGTCTTCCCTTCGCTTCAGCTATGGCCTTTGCAGATTAGAAGAGCCACTCATTCTGTGAAGCTCACATGCACCTTCCCTTTTCATCAGAAGATGGCTGGGTTGGTCACCCCTTCTCCCCAGCCATGGCCTTTCCAATTTATAGCCAATTACCACAAAGTCCATTCAAACTTCCTGCTTGGTACCACCCTGCAGGGCTCTGATGCTCCCTCTGCTTTAGGAGAGACACTGAAGCTTCTGCACTTCAACTTGTGGCTCTTAATACTTTTAAAAGCCAAAAGAAATTTTTTCTGAAGTACCCAAACATGAGCTCAACCACTCAAAGGTTCCAGCTAAGTTTTCCTCCTTGGCATGTAGATAGTGCCAGAGATGCTGACATGAAAAGAACAGATATTTTTGGCATGGAGGTAGATTCCTAGCATATTTTTGGGCAGGAAGGATTTTATCTTGTTCACAAAGAAAAACAGGCTGAGCAGCAAATCTATGTCTCAACCTGTAAGCCGAACTCCAATGCTCTGGGACAGTAGAGTTTGGCATAACAGACAGAGTCCCTGGAGCTGTTGGAAGGAAGAAGGGAGGAGTAAAGCATCCTGGGATGCTCGAAGATAGAGGCATGTCCTGCAACGTTACATATAACTGTACAGGCCTAAAACAAAGTGCTAGGAATTGTCACAATTCTAAGCAGTTGCTGCTGGAAAAGCTAACATTTCACTGTGGTATCACCATGTTTTTTCCATGACAAACTCTTTGAATGGCCATACATTTACTTTTAGGAGCACTAAAAGGACATATTTCTCGCTACAGATTTAACATTTATCTATAGCCTAAGTAAAACAGCTAAAAGAAATGCAATTTTTACTGACATGTAAATACCTTTTAACAATTCAAGAAAATATATTATAGAAACTGTATATTAAAATCAACCAGAATTTGCACAAAAAACAATGTTCACAAATAAAACATTATATGGTCTTTACTTATGGCCTTTGCTCATGTTGGAGTCAAAAGGACTTTCCAAAAAATAAGGTAATACTTAACGTGATCAATGATATCATTGCTTAGCTCTTAATATGTAAGAAAGTCATGAAGTAAACAAAACACACCAATTTTTACAGTTTATACATATTTACTTTGATTAGGGTCTATCTGAAACTCTACACAGTTAATAGTTTTTAATGAAATAGTATGTTTAGTACATTGCTTTAAACCTATCAATTATTTTCTGAACTGCTTGTACATGTGTTAAAGCCAGCTCAGCTATCCATCCCACAAAAATAATAATAGCCACAACACAAAACAAATATATTCCTATCTATTCCCTCAAATAATGAGAAACTAGTGTAAGAACAGATCCTGGTTTAGTCTTCAGCTGCAAACCGCTCCAAATTTTTATTTTTGATTGAATACACTGTATTTCTATCAGTTACTATTCTGTGCTGTTGTAACGTATGAATGACTATAATTTGGTAGAAATTTTTCTGTAGTTCTAACACATTTTTTTTGCACAGTAGACTTTTTCATTATATATCTATAGTACTGTATTCCCACATGTTATCTTCAATGTTCAACAAAGGACTCCATGTAGATCTCACAATTGAGAATGTTTTTATGGTTCCTTGTCAGGGATATTTTTCTGTGTTTCTGTGTCTTTTGGATTTGTTGTCATGTTATATTATAAGGCTCTGGCCAGTTAAGATATTTTGAGATTCTATATATATGAGTAATTGTGCAGCCAGAGTAAATAATATAATTGAACTGTTTTAGTGGCAAGAATTAAGCTTCTAAGTGAAAATCCAATTCCTAACTGGGTGAGGATGTGCACAGAAACTACCATTAAAAAATATTTTTCCTCCTTGTGCTTTCTAGTACACCAGACCACAACTTTAGACTTGATGGGTGTGTCCACACATGCAAGCATGTGAGCTTGCAGCAGCTCAAATAGAAGTGGTGCAAAGTTGAGCCAGGGCTTTTTGCCTCAGCGCGCATGCTCGGACATGCACTTTGGTGTGGGGCAAATTCTGCCACTTGGGGCAAAATAACTCTGTCTGGCTCCTCCCAGATCTGCAGCCAGGGGGAGCTAGAGCCTGGGGCCAGCACCTGTGCTGTCCCCAGCAGTATAAAGAGTTGCCCTGCCCTGTCCCAGAAGTACATAAAGCTGCCCTGGCAAGTAGCTCAGGGCTACTCATTCTCAGGAGCTTCTGGGGCCTGGCCAATTGGTACCTGTGGACACTACCGCTTGTGGCAGCTGGATTGCTGAAGCAGCCCTGAGAGTTCCCTGCACCGCTTATCCACTGCAGCAGTTTGGCAGTGGGGGCTGCTGCTTGGCTGTGACCTACTGCCACCTGCCAGACTGGAGGGGAGGCATCTGCCCCTCTGGGCTAGATGCCAGTGGGCTGTGGCTGCAGGGTTGGCCTCTGTGCGGCACTACTGCCATGTGTGCCCCGTGCCTGGCCACCTGGGTAGCTATCACCTGGAAGATGTTCCAGGTGTGGTGGCCTGCTTTGAGCTGTCAAAGCATGTCCTCCTGGCCCCATTTGGCCAGGAGGTCAGCCACAGCTAGATGGGTCCAAGGTGCCAGCTCTGAGCAGACAGGGTCCTGCCACTGGCCTCCCTACCAGTAATTCTGGTGTCCCCTATTGGAAAACTGAAAAATCATTGATAAAAAAAAATCCAAAAATCACTCTCTAAAATACCCCCAAATCCATGTTTCTCCACAAGTAAAACAAAAGACCACTATAGAGAGAGAGAGAGAGTGAGACAGAGACAGTGATTAGTTGGACAATGTTTTATTTATATATCTACATTGTTAAAGCAAGTCTCTTATCATCATAACAAAGTAAATGCTAAATAAAGGTTTCATGAATTCATGAATACATATTTTGCTGCCCTCCCACAGGGTGATGGCGCTCATACAAGGGGTTCATCCCCCACACAAGGGCTACGGTCCCCCAACAGAGGATTCAGCCCCTACACAAGGGGTTTGGCCCCCAGGGCAGGGGTTGGGGGCCTCAGGGGGGCTGGCGGGGGATGGAGCTGGGCAGGGCAGGGGTCGGGGGGGCTGGGAGAGTGGGCAGGGGACCCCCCCATGCCCCCCCCCTCTCCTCCAGCCCCTTACTTACAGCACTGGAGTCCTGGTGCTGAACACGTGGGCT